GTGTGTGTGTGTGTGTACACACACGTGTGTTTGTGTGTGTATATACGTATATATATATATATATATATATATGTATAAACTTACTCTATCTTGTTGATATCACGCTTTGATATCACAGTATTTTGGTTGAATCCATCGCGCACAGCCCTATAAAACACCGGCTGGTTCTCAATCGGTTTAGTTTTGATTGCTCGCAGGAAATCACGGTACAACGTTAATACGTCCTGTTGGAGCTTACTATGTCTTTTAAACGTGGCCGCTGCCGTCGCAGCTTTCATCATAGCGCTAACCAGTTAAATTAGAAGTGACTTGTTGTTGTTGTTTTTCTACGAGTATTGTGTGAGTGTATGACTGAGAATTGCAGGGTTGTTGATAAAACACTTTGTACGAGCATGAACGAGTATTCAATTTTATGTTATATAAGTATAGTATGTTTCTGGGTTTAATTCATTTTGAATACCACGGCCTCCTGCAATATTCTATTATCAGCAGGGGGCTAATTGAGTACGAGCAGCATAAACCCTACAAGCTCTAATAAGGCAGTGGTATTTAAATATGTACTCTCGATAATCGATGTATGTAGTGATGTCATCATTGAAATGACGTACATAATATGGGCTTCTACGCCATACCCGGCATATAAATACACATAGCGTAAATACTTCGGCATTGTGTCCTCACAATCCTTTCGGATTTATGTGTGCATATATTATCATTCTTTGTATCTATTACAGCTGATCGGAAGGGAATACTTTCAAGAATTTCTGGGAATAGCTAGTGTAGTTTATATAAAGCTTCAATTACTCACATAATCAGCAGAGATAATCTTTGTTATGGATAACTAGTACTATCTACCGTGCGAATGGTCGCGAAGATAAACTTTCTGTTACTTTACTCTGATCGCACGCTCCTCACTTGAATGTCTCACACTACAAATGAAGTTTAAATGTAGAGGGTTTCAGAACAATGAACGAGAATATATGAAACCCCTGTACATGCTTTCTGTCAATAATAAACCGTAAAGTCATCAACATATCACCTCCGTCTCTTATCAAGTTTACTAGATTCACGCAACTGGGGCCGGTGGAGGTGTACTTAAACACTGAAGCCTAATTTTCGATGGACACTCACGGAGACATGCTATTCAGCATACTTTAGAATCCCGACTCTGTCTACAATAGGCGTTGTTGAGTAAATCAGATTGAAATGCTTTCAGTAATGTAGCGAGCACTACGCTGTATCGAGCTTTAAGTCGGTTTACACGTGTCAATTTTAATTCGAGAGACGACAACTTAATGATTCACTGCAGCTAAATACATGATGCACTTTCGGGCCCAAGGGAGAAATGTTGTCATTTCTGAGGGACATTCGGACTGTCTTAAAGCGCGAATTACCTTCTAATTTGAATTGCCTTGCATTTGACGTTGAGGCAAGTCACATTCCAAAGATAAGGATGTATACATACGATTGTCATTCTATCCACGAAAGTATCTTAAAATTCGCTGCAGCTTCATTTCCGACGAACAGTCAAATCGACATACATATCATATCGGATAATATGGTACCCGGACACCATCACCACAAGATACTCTCAAGATGGGGGTTTGTCCGAATGCCCTTTCGTCCATGCATTTAGCATCCACCGCACCTTATTCAGCCATGAGGCGGCTCATATTCTAAAGGCCAGGTTGGCAACAGGCAGTAGACTTCCTGAACACGAAACTCGTGGATTGCCGGAACGACATAACATTTTGAATACACGATAATCCTGAGTCCTTCGTCACAAGATGTCGACTGATCTATCATTTATTTGAAGGCGCTTTCGGTCATGTAACGTGTGTCACATTGTAATGTTATTTAAGTTGTTCGTTGATGGCGAGTCCGTAGACAAGAACACGAAATTTGCTGAAGCTTTATTTCCGACAGGCAGTCAGACCGACAAATCTCACCAGAAACTCGAATACTCCGACTCCGTCTTCACAAGCTGCCGACAAGGTAGAATACAGAAATGCGACTTCGGTCGCTAGTCTTTAAGTTACTATACGTATTCAAGAGAATAGGGTGTTCTTAGGCGTTCAGTTCTCTATTCTACGAAACTGATTGAAACTGGTGAAGCATTGGATACAGATACGACGACGGGCAGTGAAAGCGTCATAATGTTATTTTTACCCGGGAATCCTGACTCAGACACAAACTGATGTTGACAAGGTTCTCTTGAATACGCATTCGGCCATGTATACTGGGTCGAGCCTCTATGCACCGCATATTCAAAAGTAAAAGTTGTTCAAAGACGATAGACGCCCTATGCAATAAACGACTCAAAATTTGCTCTGTGTAATTTATTAAGAACGAAGAGTTAAACCGAAACATTATATTGCATACTTGGAAATGTTGCCTCCATCAGAGCAAGTTCCTAACAAAAACACTAATATTTAAATAAGTATCCGGATGTGTAGTGTGTACACATCGTATTTATTTAGTCTATAATAAGGATATATTACATTCATAAAATTAGGTTGTTTGTAGACACATTTGACTGTTGTCAAATATAGAAAACTGCTTAAAATCATATACGACGGACAATCAGAGCGAAAATATCCGATACTCGGAAAGGTGCGCATCATAATATAGAGTACATCATTCAAGGTACAGGATGCTACAGCTCGCCATAAAATCGACCTCTTGTCAGTCACGGTATCAGTATATGCGGCGGAAATGCTCGATCGATGTTCATAATGTAAAATGCGAGCATGTTGATCTAAGCCTTCTCAGCCAGTCTTGGGAAAAATGTATATTGATAGTGACAGCATACTCTCATCTAAACACAGCAATGGTGAACAGTACGATGAATCAGTGAAATATAGAGTGTAAAGCAATATGCTCGTATGAACAACAAGATTCGTGATAACGCTTGTTCTGGAAAGAGCTCCGCAATTTCATGCATGTATCCTGAGAGTGGATCAGTACTTGTTTAATAAACTGAGGATGGTGTTAACGCAAGTTCGCCGCGGCTGCAGCCACGGCCATCTTGACTATATTAACAAGTTCGCTCCAACTGCCTTGCTGCAGCCAGGCCTTCTCGACAGATAGAAACAGGTAAAGCGGGCATATATATAAGCGCCTGCGCCGCTGGCGCATTTATTTGTTATATTCGGCTCAAAATTTCCTGAAGAAATAGGCTTGGACAAAATCGACAAGCCTGGTCGGATGTTTTACAAAACTGGTACGTACTTCTGTCTATCTACGTTTTGACATGTTGTGATAACTTTATAAACGAAATCACGAATCGACCAATCATTATACACTCCTTGTATGTAAATATGTGCTGTTCGCAAAACACCATAGTTACGTTTTTCAAAGGAAATTCAAAGAAAGAAAAACACACCAACGCGCAAATTATATAAAACTGATATACGTATGTAAACATATTATTTAAAAGTAAGCAACGTTCACACTTTTTTATTTTAACTATAGGCCTTATTATCGGAAAAGTATATCCATACATAAATACATATATACATATATTCATAAATGCATATAAACATGTATACATATATGTATATATACATGGATACATATATATATATATACATGGATACACGCTATATATATATACTATAAAATATATATATAGATATATATATTATATA